AGGTTTCATTTTACTATATTCAACTCCTATACTGTGTCTGTGGCCGTAGAGAAAATTCAGTCTGCTACTTTGTTGGAATGAAAACCCGGTAATTTTCATTCCAATCTTGTTACAGAATACTACTTGTTTTACATAAAATTTATAGCGATTTAAGACACTAAATACCACACTTCTTTATATTAAGTACTCATAAACTAAAAGAAACTGGAATACTCAAAAACTATAGCACAAAACTTTATGTATTTTTTCGTTGGAATTTGTATGGTTCCTTTTTTAAGGCCTGATGATGGCCTTTGGGCCAATAGATGTTATATTCCGAAAATTTTGTTGTGGAGATTTTGACTATTTGTTTTCATTCATTAAGATTATCATATTTGAGCAGTTAAATACCCTCTACGATGTACATACATTCATTTACAACTTAATTTAATTTATAATTTGTTACAACAATATCTACTTATTTACTAATTTATTATCAAATCATATATCTCAACACAACAATACTCTTTTTAAACTGACGGCAAAATAGCCAATTTATACATATACGTTTTATTTCTCGAAGTTTCGTGCATTCTCCAAAACTTGCAAACGTCGGACCACCATTTTCTAGACTGATGATCTACCAAAATTAACGTCTTTGGAAGCGTCGTAGTCATTCTAGAATAATCTAGGTTGATATAGCCACCAGATTGTAGAAGACAATGGTCCATAGTCGTTTCATAGGAGGGTTTCGGTGGTTTATTATTTTATCGAATATTCTTAGTTCTCGAAAAACTGGAGGCTATGCGAGGCCCAAATAACGCAGATAGGGACCAATGGGAATAGAATAGAACCGTACAACAATACTGTTTATTTGAAATAATAATTTAAAAAATAATTGATGTTCAAAGGTTGACCATTTACTGTGACACACTTACGATGGTCTCTTTTTATTTATTTTTTTTTGCTTTTTTTAATACAAACTCTTTTTGCACACATCCTTGAAATTTCTCAAGTATCATACCAATTTGGAAACAGCTCATTTCTCTTGTTCTAAAAATGTCACAAAATACAGGGTGTTACGTTTAAAAAAAACTGTCGATGACGTCATCACCTTAATGTGTATTTCCCTGTATAATGAAATTTTCTTGTAAAATGTAGAGCATTAAAATTGCATATTTTTTTGAAAAGCTATTAGTTTAGGAAATATCGAATTTATTCCATTCCTTACGGACACACTGTAGGTTTACTTTACAAGAAACTAACATTTTTATTATTGATCCAAATTTAACAATTTTTGAACAAAAATTATTTTCTTTAAATTTTAACCAACTTTTATAAATATTCGTCCATCCGTCCGAAGTCACGTTTTTTGTCAGAAACAAAAAATAATTTCAACTTAATTTTTTTAGCAAAAAATCAAGGACGAAGCCTATTAATTTTGAAAAAATCTGATTAAAAATGGAGGGGTTTAAATTTAAAAAAATCATAAATTGAAAACGAAAAACGATATCAACTTGAAATTTTCAGGAAAAATCAAGCTCAATAATGGGATGAAGCTTCTATTGATTCTGAAATGGGAGTTAAGGGGAGTCTGTTTCCTGTGAAGGGTTTAATATAGAATGCCAAGATTGATACATCTTCATTCCAAGGGCGGCTCCACGCTGAATTTTCGGTGGGGGGTCATTGCTAATAACATTGGTGTTTTTTTTAATCAGGGCACGAGTTTTTTTTATTAGGTCCTCAACCAGCGACTACTTTTTTTTGTTTTATTGGTCGTCATTTCCAAAGGTACACACAAGGCGCAGGTACAATCTATTAGAAGACCTCTTTTTTGCTCCCAAGACCTACTTATTACTTTTGCCCGGTAATAGTAGCATTTTGTATATAGCATTTGAAAATGCTAACTCATGGATTTAAACATTTTAACTTTGAGGGGAAGGGTGGAAGGGGGGAAGGGGGGAAGGGGGGAAGGGGGGGAAGGGGGGGAAGGGGGGGAAGGGGGGAAGGGGGAAGAGGGGGAGGAGGAGGGAGGGGGGGGGCATGGTCAACTAAGACCCATCACGAATGATGTCTGTGTGTGTGTGATTACATTTTGTATTAAGTCGGAACATCTGGGGAGACTTTATGGGAAGCCGTTTTTAAATTTTATGAAATATATCTTATTTACGTTTCAAAAAGAAAATTATTTCAATGAAAGTTACTTGAAATATTATTATCTTTAATTTTTGTCCTATACAAAATTTTCCTAAAATGGTCCGTATTCGAGAAATTTGGCAAAATGTTAAAAAAATTATTTTTTTATAAAAATTGTTCAGATAAAAGTTGTCTGTAATATAATTCTCTATAGTTTTTATTTCATACATAATTTCTCTAAAATGGACCGTATTCGAGATATTTGAGAAAATGTGTAAATTAAGAATTTTGAAGAAAACTCAAAACCGGATAAAGGAAAAAACATTAATTTTAAACTTAAGTTTAATTTTGGCCTGAGGTAGAATGATTAGATTTTAGACAAAGTCGGAACATCTGGGGGGTACTTTACGAAAAGCCGTTTTTATATTTTATGGAATATATCTATTATTTACGTTTGGAGAATAAATTCTTTAAATAAAAGTTACTTAGAATATTATTATCCACAATTTTTGTTTTATACAAAATTTTCCTAAAATGGTCCGTATTCGAGAAATTTGACAAAATGTAAAAAAAATATTTTTTTATAAAAATTGTTCAAATAAAAGTTATTTGTTATATAATTCTCTATAATTTTTATCTATACATCATTTTTTTAAAATGGGCCGTATTCGAGATATTTGAGAAAATGTGTAAATTACGAATTTTGAAGAAAACTCAGAAACGGATAAAGGAAAAAACATTAAATTTTAAACTTAAGTTTTATTTCGGCCTGAGGTGAAATGATTAGATTTTGGATAAAGTCGACACATCTGGGGGCTACTTTATAGGAGGTCGTGTTTATATTTTATGGAATATATGTTATTTATGTTTGGCGATGAAAATTTACTTCTAATATTATTATCTATAATTTTTGCTTTATGCAAAATTTTCCTGAAATGGTCCGTATTTGCGAAATTTGACAAAATGTGCAAAATTCTGAATATTATAAAATTTGTTAAACTAAAAGTTGTTTGCGATTGTTTTTTACATGATTTTTTCTAAAATGGACCGTAATGGAAAAATTGGAGGAAAAGTGCTAAATTTAATTGGAAAATGTATATATGTAGTTTATCTTCTACACATTGATAGAAGTGCTGCAATAGACTGTACAAAATAACCGGAAAAAGCCTATAATAACTAGATAGGAAAGTCATGTGTTGGACACATCAGATTTTTTCAAATGCAATATCCTGCATAATCAATTTATAAATTAATTTCTTTATTTTTTATTTTGATATTCCCTATTCCCACACGCAATTATTGTTAAATTTTGATGATTTAATCATGAAATGTTACTTTTTTTCTATTCATCAGAAATAATGGATGATTTTCTATTCCCGGACATAACTCCTAATGTAAATAAATTAATAAAAAAGCGTTTTAGTATGGAGAATACCAACCAAACCAAAAAATCAAGATTTAGGTAATTATTATTATTTGGTGATTTGAAAAAAATGTAAATATCGTAATGTTTGATTTTGATACATCATACATCCTATATACATCATAGCAAAATAGATGAAAAAATAGGAACCTTAACTTGTTTAACGTTGTGAAAACAATTAAATATGTTACGTTTAACTACATACAGGGTGTGTGGTTTAAAAAAGTAAAATGTTTGGTACGCACCTTATATTTTATGGACTACCCTGTATAGTTAAGAATCATTTTAAAATATGGTCACCAACAGTAGGAAATATTGTATTTAAAATGTCTTCGTATCTCCAGTAATAAAACAACTATCGACCATTTACGCACTGATGGAACATACTATACATAAAAGACTAAGATGTTGATGTCGTTGGATACGAAAATTCAGAACAAATTTAATGATTAAATACTTATAATTCAGGTCTATGCATTTTTAAAAAAAAATATGTGAATTGAACCTAAAATGAGCCTTATTTATGACAGGTTTCAAAATACTCATATTAAATGAATCATTTTTATTATCACTATTAGTTATCTTGAGATATTGTTATAGTCTGCTATTTAAACAATTTTATATAAAATCTACCTACATTTATAATAATTTTATTTAGGGTCTGCACATTCTCTAATTTTACAAAAAAAGTAATTTTTGTAGACTGGAATACAGTATTACTGGACTATTTTAAAACTGAAATAAAATATAGCGTTTATATTAAAATATTTATATTTATTTTCCAGGTAAAAGCGTATCACCCTGTATATCCAAAGAATTTTACAATATGCCTTTTTCAGATCCATATAACTTTTATTTTGTTATGTCATGCAAGAGGGGGTTAGTATCCAGGGTTGAAATATTGAAACTGTTGAATTTTCCTTAAAATTAACTTTAAAATGATGTGTTACCTGATCCCCTTGCTAATGGGTTGCTGCCGGTCACAGGAGTTTGATTTCTCCCTTTCGCCTATATTAATACGCTTTTTTAATGTGTTGAAAACATTTTCGTTTCTGGGTATGCATGAGTCAGGTTTTCGTTAAAAACAGGACATGGATATTTTAATCTTACAAATGACAAAACTATACGTTCTAAAATTTTAATTTTACTTTAGTATGGAAATATTTTCCAAATCATCATCGCCTTCGTTTAAATATTAAAAATTGGGGACTAATTACATTCTATACAGGATGAGTCAAAATGTTGATAGACCCTGTATGCTGCTTTTAATAAAATTTACATAATTTATCAATATCGTGTTTTAATACTATACATCAAATCATTTTAAAATATGTACAATTTATAAACCATATACAGTATGATTAAAAAAATCCTCTTTTGCATTTTTAACTTTTTCCCCTTTTCACCTCTTTCCCCCTCCCCCTATACCCCCTCTTCCCCTCTTCCCCTTTTCCACATCTCCCTATCTCCCTATCTCCCCATCTCCATCTCCCCATCTCCCCATCTCCCCATCTCCCCATCTCCCCATCTCCCCATCTCCCCATCTCCCCATCTCCCCATCTCCCCATCTCCCCATCTCCCCATCTCCCATTTCCCCATTTCCCCATCTCCCCATCATCCCCATCTCCCCATCTCCCCATCTCCCCATCTCCCCATTTCCCCATTTCCACATTTCCCCATTTCCCCGTTTCCCCGTTTCCTCATTCCCCCCCCCCCCCCCCCTCCCCCCCCTCCTCCTCCCCCCCCACCCCCCCCCCCCCCCCTCCCTCCCCCCCCCTCCCTCCCCCCCCTCACATATCCCCCTATCACCCTCTCCCCCTCTTCCCATCTTCCCATCTTCCCATCTTCCCATCTTCCCCCTCTTCCCCCTCTTCCCCTCTTTTCCTCTTTCCTCTTCCCCTCTTCCCCTCTTCCCCTCTTCCCCTCTTCCCCTCTTCCCCTCTTCCCCTCTTCCCCTCTTCCCCTCTTCCCCTCTCCTCCTCTTCTCCTCTTCTCCTCTTCCCCTCTTCCCCTCTTCCCCTCTTCCCCTCTTCCTCTCTTCCTCTCTTCCTCTCTTCCCCCTCTTCCCCTCTTCCCCTCCTCCCCTCTTCCCCTCTTCCCCTCCTCCCCTCTTCCCCTCTTCCCATCTTCCCCTCTTCCCCTCTTCCCCTCTTCCCCTATTCCCCTCTTCCCCTCTTCCCCTCTTCCCCTCTTCCCCTCTTCCCCTCTTCCCCTCTTCCCCTCTTCCCCTCTTCCCTCTTCCCCTCTTCCCCTCTTCCCCTCTTCCCCTCTTCCCCTCTTCCCCTCTTCCCCTCTTCCCCTCTTCCCCTCTTCCCCTCTTCCCCTCTTCCCCTCTTCCCTCTTCCCCTCTTCCCCTATCCCCCTATCCCCCTATCCCCCTCTCCGTCTCTCCGTCTCTCCGTCTCTCCGTCTCTCCGCCTCTCCGCCTCTCCGCCTCTCCGCCTCTCCCCCTCTCCCCCCTCCCCCTTTTCCTCCTCTTCCCATCTCCTCCTCTCCCCATCACCCCTCACCTTCTTACCCCCTCTCCCCCTCCCCCTCTCCTCTCCCCCTCTCCTCCTCTCCCCCTCTCCTCCTCTCCCCCTCTTCCCCCTCACACCTCCTTCCTCGCCATCCCGCCTTCCTCCACCACCACCCCTCCCCTTCCCTCTCCCTCACATCTCTCTATCTCCCCCTTATTCTCTTATTTTTGTGTAAACCGATATAGAATGTCATAATCCCTAATTTTGATTATTTAAGCGAAGGCTATTACAGCATGATACTCATTTGGAAAACATTCGATTTTTAATAATTTATGATATCAGTAAAGCGTTATTCTCGAAGAATATCTGTAATTACAGTAGTATCTGTAGAGGCACTTCCTTTTTAAAACATGGCCAATTTAAAAGTTCAACGCCCTGTATATCAAAAACTAGTCATAGGATTAAGTTGTGCCCATGGTCACAGAAGCTCATAAGCCGGCTGCCTGATGCTTTATCGGCAAAATTGATAATTTTGTTGAAATTCCAAACTAATGTCTCATTTTGAGTCAATTTATTTAAGAAATATTACAGAACTTAGCAGCAGTGTACTTCTTATATTGGATCTTTCAATGTCAAATAAAGGCTACATAAATTTAATGAATTATTACACTAACCTAAAAATAGTAATAATTGAATAAAACAAAATAGGATTGCTTTAGGTTTCCGTTTTTAGAGATCAAAATTTCGTCCTATTCAAATTTTACCAAAACGGAACCTGTTATCGTGAATTATCATCTTACTTACATCATCAATGTTGGTCTAATAATTTGTACACTTTATTCCCATTCAAAAAACTTTATATCCCTAGTTGTTCACATCGCAAAAATGTCAATTTAAATTACAAATACTTTAACATAACACTTCTCGAGTTCACCATTGCAATCAACATTTTAGGAGTTAAATTCAATTAAAAATTTAAGATACGAGATAGAAAATATTCTCCAAAATTCCACATTCAAAAATAAAATGTTTCGACTTTCCAGCGATTAAAAAAATTTATATTATACCACTTACCTTAAAAGTCTGCTTGTGTCATGTTCACCGCACTATATAAAATGTTAATGTTAAATAAACACAACACTTAACAACCGAACTAATAAATTATGAATTTGTGTACGTTCACAACCGTTCACTAAATGCCACTAAAAGCACAACTGCTAAAAGTTGTCAATAATGTTATCTGAGTTTTTTGTAAGTCAGACGAATTCTTTCTTTTTTGTTTCTCAAAGCAAAAAATATCCAGCGAATTAAATTAAATACAATAGATTGTATTTAGAATTCAAGAAAAATATTAAAATGTTTGATGTTCCAGTATTATTCGTTTACAAAAATATTTAAAAAATAGCTGTCGACGATATTACGAACTTAATAAATTTGACAAAATTTACTTTATTTTCTGATTTAAATAATAGGTACTAATTATTAATTTAAGTCACATTAGGTTCGAAAATTCGGAAAAAAGTATACCTGATTGTATCTACTATATTTTAATTAAATACTTCCTATAAATAAAAAAAAACCTTTTATTAAATATACCCTAAAATATGAAAATTTGATTTTTTGACCCTTCTGTTTTTTGATAACGAGCGGTACTTCAAAGTGCCACTTTTTATCCCGATAGTGAAGATTGTTGCCCGAGCGAGAGCAACAATCACTCGAGGGATTAAAACGCATTTTAGTCTCGTGGTACATACGCTATTTTTTGTACCGCTGGGACTCAAACTTAGTAATTTAAACGATAATTATATGAAAAGAAACACTCAATATTATTTCATAACGATAATTTAATCGATTTCTTAAAGATTATGAAAAGTTATTAAAAAAAAAAAAAACTAACCTGTTGGGGTTTTGAACCTGAGTGATCTGCTTACAAGGCAGGCGTTAATCAAGTAGGTATACACTAAATGTCAGATTGAAATTTATTATTTTAAGGTACAAATAATTGTACTATTATAGACTTTTTTCTCCGCCTCCTAAAAATATGAACGTGGTGTCAAAGTTATAAACAATTAACTGAAAAAAAAAAAAAATTGGGTTTGGTTTTTGAAAATATCTCAAAAACTATTTGACATTTTCCAAATTTGAAGAAAGATTTAAAAAGAGGAGGAAATTTCGCCACAAAAAGTTCTTTTACCTGAAACTGTAGGACCAATACTTATAATTTTCCCAGAGGATTGAAAATACGGGGAATAAATGAAAATGTTGAGTCAACAAAACTAGGTGGGCGTTGAAGGCTAATCTCATTTATTTCGTAATTCTATAAAATGGGGTTAGACTTTATGGAAAGAGACATGACGTTATATTTAGATATATTTATAGATAAATTATTCATATTGCACTGATTAATATATAATATAAGTTTGGATAAAGACTATCACAATCATCAAGATTAGAGACTGAGCCAAAAATTTTTAGGTCATCTGCGTAAAGAAGGTAATGTCAATCAATGACATCCACAATGTCATTGATAAACACATTGAACCCCAAGAAGCCAAAAAATGACCCTTGAAGGACTCCTGATAATGTAGGGTATTCGGCAGACTTAAACCCATTGAGAAATACGTATTTATTGCTTTCTCTCTTGAAAATAGGATTGAAACAGTTTAAGAAGAGAGTTAGACATTCCGAAAGTTCTCAATTTACGAAACACAATTCCATGATCAAATCTGTCGAAAGCCTTACATCTGTTTGTAAGCGGTTATCAATGTTTTCTTCAATAGACTGCAATATACTTAGCAAATGCGTTACTATAGAGCGACTTTTAACGAAACCCTGCTGATTCTGTGAAATTTTACTACCAATGTCTGTATTTAAGTTCTGATGCAAGACATTCTAAATACATTCTCAAATATTTTAGAAAAATTGCATATGATTGAGATGGGCCTAAAATTATTTATGTCCGATTTGTTCCCTTTTTTAAAACTTTTGACGATTTCTATTTGCATGACAGTACAAGTTGGAATACATATATTAAACGGCAACATCAATGGATAAGTCAATAAAGAAGCACAGTCACAATTCACAAAAGCGGGAATATCATCAGGACCAGTAGTTCTTCTGGGTTTAAGTGGTTTAATCGGTGGGTAAAATTATTTATAAATAAGGAATCTCTGTGCACTAAAACATCATCGAGTGCGTCAATATCAACAGATGTAGATAGGACATATGATTTGCTAAATAAATTTGCAAAAGCATTTGCGAAGTCTAAGGCGTCATTAAACTCATTGTCATTATAATGCATTAAATTGGACACTGAAGTTCTTCCACGTCTTTGATTAACATACGCCCAGTTTTTGCGGTCTGAACATATCTTTTATTAAGCTGTCTTCACATGATCAGAATACGACGTATCTAAATTCGCCTTAATCTCAACTCTTTAAAGGCTGCTTTATCATTATATTTTTTTAATTTCAGAATTTTCAAATCTGTATTTAGTTTTCGGATCTAAACCGATTTTCTTACTTCACTTTTTTCATTTCACGATTACGGCGTACTGAACTCGAAATCTTACTGTTAAACAATTGAAGGATCTTAGAAATTTAGTAATTCTAATTACTGTCTTTCTACATAATGTTAAAAGAGTGGCTTTAAGGAGAATTTGGAGAGCTGAGAGGGGTTGAGAATTTGTGTTTAACAACTGAATCTGATTGAATTCACATTTATGAATTCGGATTTGACAGCATGTAAAGGTATCACCTTCACACGCTGTGAAACAAAAAGATGGAGCTTCTGTTAATTTAAAAATTTTAAACTGTGTGTAATCATCCCCAAATTCCAAGACAATAGTGCAGCAACTGCAAGGCGTTATGCAGAAGAATATCCCAATCGGAATACACTAGACAGACTATTATTTCTTTCTATTGATCGTCATTGACGGGACACTGGTACTTTGAGATCGTAACCTGCTGGTAATAGTGGTCGTCGAAAAATGGATACAAACCAGGGGCGGTTTCTCCACTGGTTGATTTCTGCAGTGAACACCCAGTTACATTTCATAAAAACATTATTTTAAAAATAAATAACGAAAATATAAATTCAATTTTAATAATTTTATTGTTTTCATACGTGTTAGTCTCTATTTTTGGTACGCCACTGCGCTCTGGCTAATCGCGTCTCTTAGGCTGACTTTTCTGAGTGAGCCCAAAGGAGTGAGATGCTTCGCGAATACCTCTAGCTAAAAAGAGATGAAACTAGTTAACAGATCCGTGAAACCAACAATGATCTGCTTCAAATCACTAAAATCATCTTATTTTGCGCAGCGCACACAGTGACATCACAAAATAGGGGGTGGGATATATGAATCTTTCAAATCATAGATATAGAGATGCAATGACGGTAGGTACTAAAAGTTTCTACATTTTGCATTACCCTTTCACGACATATGTCAAACTCAAGCTACTCAGTTTGACACTTTTAATTGTGTATTGTATTTATTAAAAACTAAGTTTAAATAAAACTGCGACTTTAATAAATCGGAAGTGTTTGTGTCAATTCAACGATTCTTACCGAAAAACGTCTGAGGTAAAAAAATATTATTATTTTTGAGGTTATATTGGTTGATTTTCAAATTACGGTTGTAATTATTTTGTTTCTAGTTTCAAAGTTTACAGAATAGTCATGTGTTTTATACCCAACTATGCATTGTTTCCAACAAAAGACAAACGAAGTTTCACAAAAGTATGACAGTTTTATTATATATTTTATTAAAAGCCAGTCTTTTCACCTCTGAGTAAAGTTGAAAGTAATTACTTGCTAATTAAACTATAAGACTATTTTTTGTTAAGCTGTCAAGTAAACCTACATGTAACTTTACTCAGGGGTGAAAAGATCGACCCTTAAACTAGGATAATTTCTTGACCGTAGTAAAATTTTTTATGAATAATTGTTTATTTTGTAGATTGTCCCTAATGAATTTGAAGTTATAGAAATATGACCTATCTATAAATGCTAGAGGTACTGATAAGCAGTGTCTTTTTTATCCTTATCTTTATCTTCATCTTTACCTTTGTCGGTTATAAGCAGACAGGGTTAGGTTTGGCCAAGAACACTGCGACCTCTTGGGTCTATTGTATTCCCCTGCCGGGCATAGGTTTTGCTTATCCCAAATACAGGATCGGGTCCTGTGAATAGTAGTTCTGATTACTCTTTGGCGAGTTCATCAGCCTTTTCATTTCCTTGGATACCTTTGTGCGCTGGTACCCACGCTAGTTTTACCTTGTTGTGGGTTGCCCGTAAACGATGTAAGTACTTTAAGAAATGTTTATATATCTTATTTACTGGAATACTTCCGAATATAACCATTACGATTACGTTGTATTGAATGATACTTTCATCTGTTTGTTTTAACCACTTTGCACAGGATAGTGATTGACACAATTGCCGTTTGGTAAAGTACAACTTTTTTCTATGCTTTTGGGGCTTATTTAATTTGCTAATCAGTTGATAGCCAAAATTAGCAGGACTAAGACTGGCAATTATCAAAGGAAATGAATTCCAATTCTAAAATGTGACTACCTACACTTTCTCAACTATCATCAATATATGCGAGTAAAGGTATTACATCTGGCAGGCTCCATTAGAGACTGGAGTCCAGATCGTCTCTCTATCTTGCTGATGAATCCGAATAAGGACAAATATGGTTCAAAAATGATGCTCTCCTTAGAAAGCATAAATGTTGGAGTGTTGAAAACTATTTTCGATTTCTGCTATTTTCTTTTTGATATTATGAAATACCTATTGCAGTATTAGCCAAAGGAGTGGTTGTTTTCATGAAACGTTAATTTAGCGTTTTTGTGACAGGGACTTTCAAATGTTTTATATAATATTAAAAATTGGTCTTTATTTTTAACATAATTTGATAAAAATGTATGGAAGATACCTGTAAAACCGGTGCTAGACAATATAACAAGTTGGTTGAATCTATGAGTTAGGTAATTATTTTGCCAGTTTCATATTGAACGCAACTTTTAATAACAAAATTGTCATTATATGCTTACACATATGTCAACAGTTAACTTAAATTTACTCTTAGAGAACACATTGAATAGTAGTAACATTTAAGGGTAAGTAAGTGACACATGCTAGCCGGGAAAGTTACTTTCCCGTCTAGCCCGGAAAGTGAAGCAGGCTTCCTGTTTCAATATGGGTTTAAATCTACGGATATTTTTATTCTGTATTTAAAAAAAATGTTTTCTTTTCAAAATTACATCTTATATAATAAATTATAAATGCGATGGATAATACACATTTTTTTTTTTTTAGTTATTAAAATGCAGAATAAATGTCATATAAATGTTCTACGCCAATGTAAATAGACCGTGGAAATAAATATAGGTATGGGACGGGAAATATATTAGTCATGCCAAATCATTCCTCGTATCCAGAGGCACGAAATCAACAACAATGTGTAGTTTTATGGGTAACTAAAATTATTAATGGGTAATGGTAGTGCAACTTTTAATAGGCCAATACAACAGGAAGTTAATTATTATTTTTCTACAAGGTTTGTCTACACTCCACAATAAATGTTGACAGTTAATAATTTAGGTAGAGGAGCTAATAATATTTTAACAGAGACCTTAAAAATTTCGCCGAATTTACATAACATCTTACTAAGAAGATCAACTTTACACAATGTAAATTTAAGAGTTTAACACTTTTACAACCCCAGTGCATAGAACTTCAAAATTCGAGGTTTGTTTTAGGTACATAGTACCCTTAAAATTAAATTCAGAACTTAATAATTTGAATTTCAATAATTTTTTTACAATTAAACAAGTTCTTACTTCAAGACAATGATTTTATCTAAAATAACGCAGTTATTGTTCTATGAACTTTTTTTTGTTTGTATGTAGATGAATTGAAAAACGGCTTAGCCGAATTAACTCCACTTTAGGTAATAATGTATTTGTACTTACTAAAGAATAGTTTATTTATATGTTATTAAAAAGGAATGAGTGCCTCAATATTCAATTTCCAACGACTTATACTTAAATTCGAAAATTGTATTCAAAAAGTCAGCATTTCAATTCGAACTATTTTAATTTAATAATGTATATTCTATATTTTGGAAAGATGCATTTAAGGAAATGTGCTTGATACAATACTGGGAATATCATTCGTATTCTTTGTCACAATGAAGTTATTAATTTTTTGATTGTACTTACTCTAGCATAATACTCGTATAATAAAAAATGCAATTATATTAATTTAAAAACTTTATCCAATGCCTGATAGGCACTTTACATAATAATTGCTTTTATTTTCCATTTACAAGGATAGTCACTAAGAGTATTCCATCCCTTCTCAAAGGCGAAAGGAGTGGAAAAGGTCCTTGTACAAAAGTTATAAAATATTCTTGGGTTAGCAACGTGCATTTGACAGGAGAAATGTAATTTGTGAGTCCCTAATGTTCGAGGGGCAATCTCAAGAGCTCTGGGAATTGGGAATATGAAAATGGGGATTTATACGGTTTCATAAATAAAAGGAGTCATCTGCACAGTGTTTGTAATCTATTCAAATTTATTGTAAGATCCCATCGTTGTCTACCAAATTGAGTAATTTATTTTTTACGATTTTAATATTCGAATACATAATAACATTTTTTATCGGCAGTATGATAAGTTGTAATATTTATAAAAGTCTTTGACATTACTTATAAGATTACATTAATTTTTATACAGGATGTTACCAATCCCTTTGCTAATTTTTTATAGACTCGTTGGGAAGGTCGAAAGGAAACAAAAACTATATACTTTTTTCTCAAAAGTCAAAAATTAAGTCATTCAAATGCCACTGCCTGAAATCTGGTAGAAAAGGCAGTGAAAAATACTTAACAAGTTAACGCAAATAAGAAATCGGATTAATCGACTCTTAGTTCGTTGATGATTCGGTGGTTATCGGGACTTAATTATATATATTTGTAACTCCTCCCCGCTAAAGTGGAAGGCTTGGGGTGGCTAGGTTGGCTAGGCTTCCACAGTGGTTTTTGTACTGGACCTCATTTATTTCGTGTAAAAATATGGGTAACATGTTATACTTATGAAGGTAATAATGACCATTAGGGTACTGATAAGAATAATCAACCAAGTAGGAATGGATTCTTCATAAAGTTTTGGCGGTAGCGTAATTTCATGCTTCATGTTTACTTTTGCTGCTAAATGTTTGATCTGTTCAACATCTAGATTGACAAGTTTAATTTTCCTTGGTTGCTGTAAAATTTTTGACAGATTTATGTGAAGCAACTGGACAAGAGTGCACGGAAAAAAATGTGACTAGAAAATTTTACTACAATGTTGTAGTAGATCGGTGTGAAGTTAGCATTAACTTTTAGCAGTAAAAATAACCGAAAACACCCGATCGTGAAAACAGTGGCGTCCGGCATACAACTATTTTAATAATATTGTCAATATGTATTTTACACTTAATTATTGACAAACAATTATTATACGGTTGAAAATAACCCTTAAAATTAATAAAAGTATTTATCCGACGAAGGAAATCAGATCGCAATTTAATTTTACATTAAAAAAATAAATACACTAACATACGCTATAGGTAAACATTTCTTCAGATCCGTTGAGCAAAATAAAATTAACCCATAAAATTCATAAAATAATTATCCTGTGAAGTGTATACAACAGGGTGAACTTAACCCTTAAAATTCAAAATAAATAATTACCCTATGAAAACGATTGGATCCCAACTTTATTTTAAAATTAAAAAATCATAAATACACTCACCAAAGTACACTGTTAGCGAAAATCCCTTCTGACCCGTCAATCAGGGTGAAATTAACCCTTAAACTTCAAAATAAATAATTACCCTATGAAGACGACTAGATCCCAACCTTATTTTAAATTTAAAAAATCATAAATACACTCACCAAAGTACACTGTAAGCGAAAATCCCTTCCGACCCGTCAAGCAGGGTGAAATTAACCCTTAAACTTTAAAATAAATAATTACCCTATGAAGACGATTAGATCCCAACTTTATTTTAAATTTAAAAAATCATGAATACACTCACCAAAGTACACTGTTAGCGAAAATCCCTTCCGACCCGTAAATCAGGATGAAATTAACCCTTAAACTTCAAAATAAATAATTACCCTATGAAGACGACTAGATCCCAACCTTATTTTAAATTTAAAAAATCATAAAAATCATAAATTTTTGAAATTTAAAATAAAGTTGGGATCTAATCGTTTTCATAGAGTAATTATTTATTTTGAAGTTTAAGGGTTAATTTCACCATGTTTGACGGGTCGAAAGGGATTTTTGCTTACAGTGTACTTTGGTGAGTTTATTTATGATTTTTTAAATTTAAAATAAAGTTTTGATCTAATGGTCTTCATAGGGTAATTATTTATTTTGAATTTTAAGGGTTAAGTTCACCCTGTTGTATACACTTCACAGGATAATTATTTTATGAATTTTTTAGGTTAATTTTACCCTCCTCAACGGATCCGAAGAAATGTTTACCTATAGCGTATGTAGTGTATTTATTTTTTAAATGTAAAATTAAATTGCGGTCTGATTTCCTTCGTCGAATAAGTACTTTTATCAATTTTAAGGGTTATTTTCAACCATATATTAATTTTTTGTCGATAATTATGTGTAAAATACATATTGACAATATTATTAAAATTGTTGTACGCCGGACGCCACTGTTTTCCCGATCGGGTGTTTTCGGTTATTTTTACTGCTAAAAGTTACTGCTAACTTCACACCGGTTTGTAGTAGTAGACTTGTAGAAAAATATTTAACAATTTGTAGAAA